TCCATTCTAGCGGGCACGGCAGATGGTGACCATGTAAATGAGGCAGAACCCTAAGTGCAAATCATAACTGCTGGGAAAGATATAGAGTGATGTGGAAAAAAAGTAACTTTAGATGAAGTCATAATGGTGAATATTTACTAAGCATTGGCAGGATACCCAGCTGTGCTAAATGCTTTTCATATGTTCTTTCTTAATCTTCTTTTTGTGACACAACCTTGGACATGGTCCCTAAGGTTCCTTTGGATTTGGAATCATCTGCTCCTATGATTCCAAGTTTTTAGCAACTGATAGAGGGCTGGTTAAAGGACTAACTCGGAGGGGCCATCACAGCTGCTGATTTCTAGATGCAAGCAGAATGCCAGATTTCCCAAGTGGCGCTGGTGGTAAAGAACTAGCCAATGCAGGAGGCATAAGAGATGCGGGTTCGATCCCGGGGTCAGGAAGATCCCCTGGAGGAGGTCATGACAACCCTCTCCAGTATTCTTGCCTGGAGAATCCCCATGGACATAGGAGCCTGGAGGGCTATAGCCCATGGGGTCGCAAAGAGTCAGGCACGGCTGAAGCCACTTAGCACGCACCAGATTTCCTACTGCTTGTGTTGGTTTTCAGAGAGAGGACTCAGTGGCCAGGAGACTTGAAGGCTATAAGAAGGTAGGCACAGTGCTGGAATTCAAACCTGGCCAGGTTTGCGACCTGAAGGAAGAGAGTTAATAAGAATGCCGACAGTGGAGAGGGTCCTGGACTGGGGGCCAGGAGCTGGGGGTGGGGGCTTGTCTACCATCTGCCAGCTGCTTTAGGCCTCATTGTCAATCCCTGTGATAGGAGTTGTGCCTCCTCCTGAACCTCACACGGTTGTGCTGGGAGCTGAGGCTGTAGCACTGAGTGGTTTTCAGAGAGAAGATGTGGGTTGGGAATGCAGAGATCCAGGGACCATTCCATTGTGCCCATTTGTGGGGGCCCTGTCCTTTTACCCCAGGAGAACGTGGCACTTTGGTCTTTCCCTGTGGTCTTGCCTGCACTGACGTAAGATTCTGCTGTCTTCTTCTGAGGAGTATAGATTTTTGTTCTTAAGGACAGTTAACACAACAGGTCTTAAATCCTAAATCTGCCTCTGCTGACGTGAGCCGTACAAGCAGATTGGTGGCTCAGATGGTAAAGAATCTGCCTGCACTGCAGGAGAGCTGGGTTCAATCCTTGGGTGGGGAAGATTCCCTGGAGAAGAGAATGGCAACTCACTCCATTATTCTTCCATTCTGGAATGGAGAATTCCATGGATAGAGGAGCCTGGTGGGCTGTAGTCCGTGGGGTCACAGAGTCGGACATGACTGAGTGACTTACACGATCGCATGAGGTGAGCAGCTGCCACCTTCTGCCAGACTCCTTGGAGCCTGCTTTGCATGTGTGCAGCTGGGGTGTCATGCAAGACCTGAGCAGCATTTATGCATGATTGGGGCCCCTTTTCCGTCAGCGATTTCTGCTCCCTTTCAGGCTCTCGGGTTGCTCGCATCCCTGGTGACCAGCTTCCCAGGCCCTGAGTGAGCATTTTAGCCTAAGCTCCGGGCAGTCAGTGTTGCAGTGTGGGATTGTGCTGTTGGGCAAAACTGCACACACCAGGTCTTATCTAGTGTGGTTCCCTACTTTCAAGGGTTGATTCCCTACCAGTCTCTGCCTGCTTTTGGTCTCTCTCCAGTGCCTTCAAAGTTATTTTTATTATTTCAACTAATAGGCGTAATTTTTTAGAGTGGTTTTAAGATTAGAGAAAAATTGGGTAGTAAGGAGAGTTTCCATGTACCCCTTCAACCCTCTGCTCAGTCTCCTGCTGTTACTATCTTGCACTAGTGTGTACATTTGGTACAATTTATAAGCCATTGTTGATCATTATTATTAACTAATATGCGTAGTTTATGTGTATCCATAGTTCCCTCTTTGTACATTTTATGCAGTTATTTCTTTATATCTTGTCCAGTTTGTCAGAGGCCAAGCCTGAGGATACGTTTCTCCAGCATTATCACAAGCTGATCATTTGATGTGTTTATTTTTGATTCATATATAAGCTTTTTCCTGATCTCCAAAAACACTTGACAGAAACCTTTTAAATAAAGGGCTGTTCCTTGAGGAGCGTAAGGGCAGAAAGTCTCACAAGTCAGTGGGTGGTGATGATATTTGTGACTGTGTTAAGCTGTTATGTCTTGCTGCTTTTAGTACGATTCACCAGGAAACAGTACAGGTCAATTTGTCACTGTCTTCAGAAATTAATCCCTCGAAAATAGGGTGGAAGCAAGTAAATGAAGAAAAAGCACCCCCCAAAAAAAACAACTTCATAATGTATTAACCTGGCACCAAGACTGAGGTTTCTCTGGAAACTTACAAGGAATATTTGAAGTCCTTTGGTTAACCTTAGTTGCACTTAACTCCTCCTTATCTGGAAGATGAAGCCATAGATAAAACTGACTCATAAATCTTGTATGTTGATTACTTAGTACAATTTGCATCTTCCTTCTAGTTTTTTTTTTTTCTTTTCTGGATGGTAGTGAAAAGGAAGCAGGCCCTGATATTTTTAAACTGAAGTGGTTGCGTGAGCTAGCTTCCTGATCTGTCTGGTCTAAGACTTTGTCTTGTGTTTTGCCCAGAATGGAGCCTCAGGGTGGACTGAGATTAGTTGTGGTGGAGGTGGTAATGGCTAGGTAAGGAGATCCTTTTTGTTATGGAGTTATACATGTACGTAATGGCAGTAATCTCTTATGGTACCCTCTGATTTTTGACCCCTCCTCTGCTCCCCTGAAATTGTTGCTCTGCTTTTTGTTTTGTCATTAGTGTGGATATTTAGTTTTTGATCCCTGCTTCATGTCTGCTTTTAATCTCCTTGAATAACCATAAGGTCTAGATCTGGTAGAGATGGGTGTCTGCTCCATACTCTTTCTCAGAAAGGCAGATTTGTGATTTTCTTCAGATGGATGAGAAGGAAGATGAGTGTGTGGTGTGACTACAAGTGGGATGTGTTAGTGAGCGTGGGATGACCGTGTGCATGCTTCGTGTGGGCTGTGTGAGATGAGTGTGTGTGGTGAGTCATGTGTATGCATGTGCCACATGCGGTGGGTGAGCTTGTGTGCACTGCTGTGTGCGTGAAGGTGCGTGGTGAGTACATGCACATGTGCCCACTTGGCTGATGGCATGAAGGAGGCACGAATAGCGTGACGATGTCGCTTCTTCTCTGTCTGTACCCTAGACTGGTTTGGGGTTCTTGGCGCTGCCCCTTTCTGAGAAAGGAGCGGGAGGGCATCCATGTAGGTATCTGCGTTCAGACTGATTGCCACATCAGTCCTGGCCGGTCAGAGTTCAGGGCAGGAGCCAGCAGGCACGCAGCATTCGGGATGGGGAGGGTGGAAACTGCCCCCAGCTGCCGGGGGAGTTGCTTTGAACTTGGGCAGTCCCAAACCTGGCCTCATGTCATTCCCGGCTGTGTGGGTCACTGACATGCTGACAAACCACGGGGTCCCGCAGAGCTCAGAGGGGAGCTGTGCCAGTTATGGTTGAAGCTGACGGTGCACTTAGATCCTCAGGTTGAGGGGGCTTTGTTTGTCTGCCGTGGTGAGGCCGTCCATCTGGGGCCCAGACTTCCTACAGGGGGCAGGGATTCACTCTCCAGTGTATTACCACACACTGTTAATCAATATGCAGGGAAATTCTTTTCCAGTATTTAGTTTTCGAAACCCTTTTCACTGAGGCCAGGCTCATCCCAAATTTTAGGAAGAACCTTCTGTTCTTGTAACCATAGGAAGTACGTTTCCTGCAGATGACTGACTGTCCTGCCCTTCTATTAATGTGGTCCTTGGTTGCATAGACTTTTAAATTATCCTGGGGCTGTTAATTTCTGGGATATCCTCTGGGCTGTTTTATATGTGCTTGTAAAAAGGAAAAGGCAAATCCCAGTGGGTCAGTGTGGAATAGGATGGGGCTGTCCTCTTCTCTTGTTTCATCCTACTAAGTAATGATATCTAGAAATTATCTATAATTTTGATCCGGTAGTCCCACTTGTAGGAATCTAGCCTGAAGGGCTGCCTGGATGAGCTCAGCAGTGTGCAGATAAGGAGGTTTGTGGAAGCAGTTTTGTAAGAGTGCCCTGGGGAAGTGTTCATCAGTAGCGGAGTCATTATAAGTAATGTGATAGACTTGTATCCTTTGGTGTAGAAAGATATCCAAGTTATCTTTAAAGTTAAAAGATCAAGTTGCAGAACAATGTGAGTGGTATTAACCTTTTCACATAAAAGAAATTCCTCTGCGTGTTTATGAATCTGTGTGTCCATTAATATACAAAAGAGAGATGTACTTGAAACCATTGAAACCATAGCGCTCTGCATATATCTGCATTATTTGAGTCATGTGTAGCAAAAAATTGTATATGATATTAAACAACCTGTATGTCATTTGGTTTAATCAGGTTAAATTTTTAAATGCATAACTAGTCCATTCCTTTTCTCTATTCAGGAAATGTCTGAGGTCTCTGTAACATCCAGGGCAAACTCGGTGAAGTTTCATTAATTAAAAAAGAAGTAGATATTATTCTTTTTTATTCTTTTAGATTGCTTTAATGCATGAAGACCAGATTTCTGTAAGAGATTTATACCTTATCCCACTTTATCTTTACTGTAATCCCACTTTACAGGTGATGAAACTGAGACAAAGGCAAAATAGCTTGCATACAAAGATGTTGGGAGAGTCTTCATACCCAGCCCTTTCTGTTTCAGAAGCCTGCTTGTTTAAACACAGTCCTTGCCTGCCTCTCTGATTAAAAACAAGATGAAAAAAGGAAGCAGTTTCTCGTTTTGCTTTTTATAAAGTTAGGAGTAGTCAGGAAACATTCTTTTGGCTCTTAATTTCCTCATCTGTAGAATGGGAAGATGAACTTGGTGACCTCCGGAGACCCTTCCAGCCCTGACTTGCTGTGATTAGGGACTCTTGCCGTCCCTCTGCTCAACCAGTGTTTGCGTCTCTCCCCACAGTACGTTGGAAGTCTGGACGTGCCGAGGCCCAACAGCAGAGTGGAGATTGTGGCTGCCATGCGCCGGATCCGGGTGAGTGGCCGGAGATGGGCCGGTGTGGGCCTGGAACTCAGGCATCCTCCCTGCTTGCCCTTTTAGGAAGTGCTCAGGCTGCCAGGATGGATGGCTGCACTCTGCAGGACAGCTGTCCTGTCCAGGGGGGCTCTTGAGTTAGCTGGTTGATGTTGCTTAAAGGCCAGGGTTAAAATGGACACATGATGGCCGGAGGGCTACCACCCTCTCTGTCTTGTGAACTACCACTTCTCAGACTGAGATGCAAGGTACCTCTGAGGGGGTGTGGTCTGCCAGGGAGTGAGAGGGAGACTGGTGAAGTTATTCAGTTTTTAGGGAAAAGGTTTAGTAATTAGCTGATACTTGGCTCAAAGCACTTTTTAAAAAGTAAAGCATTTTTGTGGTGCATAAAGGAAATTTATGTAAATTTTTAAGAACAAATGTGGGATTTCAACAGAATTTCCTTGGTCAGCTGCTTTAGGCTCTGGACATGTGTGTGCATTCTCTTCTGATATTTCGGATATTCTAAAAGAGTTTGGTCAACTTTCCAACCTATCGCTTTAGGACCAGAGTCTGTGGTACATGGATCAGAGATGGAATAAAAATTAATTTTGTCTTCTGACCACTGTGAAGGAATTTCCCCATGTACTTTGTTGTGAAACAGAAGAGGTTAGATTTGTGCAGTGTGAAGGTGGATCTGGGATTGGGCAAATGAATTGGAATGATTTTTTGGAGAGAATCAGTATTGGAGGTGGCTGGATTGGTCATTCTGAATGCAGCCTGGTTTAAGCTCTTTGTCTTCTAGAAGAATCTACTCACTTCAGTGGAAAACATATAGATGTTGGGAGCTTCATTTTGCTTTTTGTCAGTTTTTTTTTTAGTCAGTTCATCTGAACAACAGAAACCTCAATTCATCGTGTTTTCTCTAAGCAGTTCGTCAGCCTGCTTATTTTAGGCCATTCACTGCTTTGACCCCCCCAGTTCTTCAGCATTTTTTGTTGTTAAGTTGAATTTGTTGAAAGTGTTCTTAAATACATCAATACTGTTTTTTTTGGACGCAGGAATGAGTCACTTTCACATGAGTTCATTTAATGTTCACAGCAAACTGTGAAAGGGGATCCTGTTACCTCCATTATATGGATTAAACTGAGGCTCAGAGTCACAGAGGTCTTGAAGTGGTGGGCATGTAGCCTGCATGCAGTTCTCCACTTGGTTTCATGAGAACATGCCTTTGACTTCAGGTCTGGCACTCAGTATTCCCAGACCTCTTCTCTTCCTTCACCTTCCCACTCAGGTAGAGACCGCTCAGGCCTGGCTGGGTGTATCTGGGGTGTTACCCTTGTGAGGGTGGGTTATTGCTCTCACCACAGTTGTGACCTTGGGGTTTCAACCAAGAGAGTCCCTCTTTCTTTCATACTCGACTAGGACACAGTGAATATGTTGTTTCTACTATTACTATCATTATTAGAGTAATTAATAATAATAGTAGTTAATATTGAGCACTTACTATGTGATAGGTGCTTTACTAGGCCTTTTAATATGGAAATAATGTTATTTATTATTTGTAGCTACTCTAGATGAAGTGAGAGTATTGTTTCTATATTTTGTAGTTGAGGACATGGAAGCCTGGGGCATTAAATAATTAATTCTAGATCAAGTTGGTGTCAGTAGTTTGAGCTGGCATCCACACCCAGAACTGTGCTGCCCCCTGGTTTGGGCGATGAATCCCGCTGGAGAACTGCAAGGTCGGGGCTTGGAGCTTCCCCAGTGACGGAGTCAGTGGCAGGAATCCGGCGGAGGTACAGGAAAACAGCATCTTGAAGCAGAGGTGGGCGGTGGCGTCTGGTGGCGCTGGCCGTGCATGGGATCTGGAGTCCTTGGGCTGGAGTGTGGCCCCTGTCTCCCCTCCCTCGTCGCCTGTCAGCCCGGCGGGCCGTGTGCCAGCAGCTCTGTTCCCTATGACCTGCTTCCAGTACTTAATGAGCAGCTCATTAAATTAGAGGGAGGAATTAATTGTCCAGAAAGCTGTTTGGTCTGGCTGTCCAGTCACTTGTTTAGTCTGGCCACCAATGAGAACTCTGGGTGTGTGTTTTACCCTGAACCCCCCAATTCACTGTTAGGTCCGGGATGCTATTTTCTTTTCTTCCCTCCCTTTTAGAAGCTGTTTTGGCTGTAATTACAGTTGTCAGGAACCAGAGCATGTGATTTCTGTGTAAAGGACTGTTCCTGACTTTGTCCTTTTCTGTTGAATGGCGCCTGGCTAACGATGGGCAGGACACTGCAGAGTTGGGTTCCTGGGTGCTCTTGTGGACTCACAAGATGCAGGCCTCCAGTTTGGTCCCAAGCAGGGGCTCGTCCTCAGAGGAGAGCAGTTCCTCTAAGGACCTTGGTGCCTTACGTCTGTGCAACGAGTTGTGCCATGCCAGGCCCTCTAGATGCCAGTCTTCCTGGACAGGACAGTGGATGAAGCAGTGCAGATTGACTCCATTTCCCAGAGAGGGAAGCACTCGGTGATGGGCTGGTCCTGAGGTCACCAGACTCATCTTCCGAGCTGGGGCTTCAGCGGCCATTTGGGGTCCTGTTCCTGCCCCCGTGTTTCACCTGCAGTGCCGACTCCAAGCTAACTAGATGGACTGTTGATTTGACTGATGCTTTTCCTCTTTCCCCGTTTCTCATGGGTACCCTTGCCATATAGATTTTCTTTTAAAATTTATGTTATCTGTCTTTGGCATTTTTTTCTTTTTCATGTGCTTGCAAAGATTTTTTTCTTTATGGTGGTTAAAAACACATGACATTTTAACCATTTAAAAGTGTATAATTCAATAGTGTTAAGTATATTTACACTGTGTAATAGGTCACTCTGAAATTTTTGCAACACTGAGACTCTGTACCCATTAAACACTAATTCTTCCTTCCTCTTCCAACAGCCCTTGGCCACCACCTTTATATTGTCTATGTGTATAATTTGACTGTTCAGACACCTCATATTTATGGAATCATACTGTATTTATCATCTGGCCTGGCTTATTTTACCTGGCATAATGTTCATAATGTTCATCCATGTTGTAGCACGTGACATTTCCTACCTTTTTTGGCTGCATGGTATTCAGTTGTGCCCAATCCTTTGTGGCCCCATGGACTGCAAGCCGCCAGGCTCCTCTGTCCGTGGGATATTCCAGGCAAGGATACTGGAGTGGGTTGCCATTTCCTTCTCCAGGGGATCTTCCGAACCCAGGGATTGAACTCGGGTCTCCTGCACTACAGGGCAACTCTTCACTGACTGAGCTCCCAGGGGTGTGTACAGTTGAACGTGTATAGCACATTTTCTTTATCCATTTATCCATCGTACGCTTGGGTTTCTTCTACCTGTTGGCTATGGGCTACTGTGAATAATGCTTCGGTGAACTTGAATATGCAAATTTTCTTTGAGACCTGTTTTGAATTTGATGTGTATTCAGAAGTGGGATTACTGGGTTAGATGGTAATGCTTTTTTAAAACTTTCTGAGGACTCTATGTACTGTGTTCCATAATGGTTGCGCCATTTTTGATCCCCCCGCAGTATAAATTTTATTTTTCTCAGTAACATGTGTGTCTTATAGATGAGTTTTCTTTTTTCTGGTAAGGATTTGTTGGGATGGGAGCCATTAGGCACTTGGAGTGTTCATGGGTGGTTTCGGGGAGCAGGACATGGATTCATAATGGATTGCCAGGATGCTTGCTGTCACAGGGGCCCCCTGGCTGAACTACCCTATGCCAGAGTGTGGGAGTTCCTTATATTGTATTTCTGAGGGCAAGATCTGGGGTTGTGAATGGTAAGTGCAGCCTTAGCACAGGTGGCATGGTATGAGTTGGCACATAAATGGATGAATTCATCAGCATTTCTTAGAAGGCCTCCCCTTAATTTAGCACCCTCACCTTCTGCTTCTCTAACATTCCAAGCAGAACCACTTCTGGCCCTGCCAGGCCCTGCCGAGGTCCCCCAGGTCCCTCTGCTTTGATGCACAGCTGTTGGTCAGGCTCTGGAGGCCAGCGTGGCGTGTTCCCGGTTCTCATGTTTGGAGACCACTTAGAGTGGAGACCACGCAGGTGGGACCCTAAGACCTGGGGATTGGCTGAGGAAGAAGCGGGGAGCAGAAAGCCAGCCCTGCTCAGCTGGGGAAGGGTGTTCAGCGCTTCCTCCTGCTCTGTGGCTAGTAGCGATTATTCGTGTGAATTTGTACCTTGTACACTTACAACTTTTCACATCCTTTCACATAGATCATTTGGGGCTTCCCTGGTGGCTCAGATGGTATAACATCTGCTTTCTGTGCAGGAGACCTGGGTCAGGAAGATCTGTCCTTGGGTCACGAAGATCCCCTGGAGAAGGGAATAATCTTCTTCCTGCTGTTTGATGAGAGGCAGGAAGATGGGCCAGGGAGGAAGGAGGGAAGGGGACGCCTGGCACAGACGCAGGCTGTGTCTGTTTTCTGTTGGGTGCCGATACTCAGCCATGGACAAACTAGACACATACACATCATTAGTGAAAGGGTAAGAAGCTAAGGAAGTGTGTGACTGGGAGGTGTTGCCCCACTTGGGGGAGGCAGGGAAGGCTCCTGGGTTACTGAGGATTGGAGTCGATGATCAGTAGATACTGCAGCCAGATGACCCCAGAGATGAGACTCTTGTGGCTGAGGGAGGACTTGCTCTCCTGAGGGGAGGTGGCCACATCACACTGCACTGTCTTTCATCCTCCGCTTCCTGGCTTCATGCCTGACCATTAGAACACAGTAGTGTTTTGTGAATGAACAAGTGACTTAAATGTTTTCCTCAATAAACTGTACTTGATTAAACTCAGTCTATTGTGTACTTCACGCACACAGTGATAACACACCGTTCATTGTGTGATGTGACTGTAATGGCAGTTTATCAGTTTGTCCGTCAGATTTTACGGAGGCCCAAGGTCGCACAAGAGGAAGACCCAGTTCTTCCGATGCCCAGCCTAGTATGCTTTCCACTGCGGAGTGAGGCCAATGGAAATTCA